TGTCTGTCTGATCCTGAGCTCAGCAAACAAAGGGTTAGCGGGGTGCTGCTCTGAGCCGCCTCCAAACAAACCCCGGAGCTCCCGGTATGAATCTCCAGGAGCAGAAAGCAATCCTGGCCTTGTGTTGGTTTTGAAAAACGTTCTGGGGAGTCTGTGCAGATGGATTAGGCCTTGTGATCTGTGTAAAACAGAAATAAAACAAGCTCTGCCAGCAGGAGTCGAACAATTCATTAGTGCAGCAATGGGTAACAAAAAAAAAGGTTTCCATGGTAGCAGCAAAAAAGAGACTTGCACCAGAAAGGCTGGAGGTTTGCTGCTGCTGTTTTTCTTTCCCTGTTGATTTTTGGAACCTTCTATCTACGCAAGCAAGAAAGGGTCAGACTGTGCAGAGAAACAGCACCTGTAGCCCAACACAGCCAAACGCCCCCGAAACACTGCTGCGTGCAAACGAAGCCTAACTGGGTTCAGTTGCCAACAGGCCAGAATTCGTATTGTTCCACATTAAACGGTCAGGTAGGTAACACCAGTGGTGACCACCACAGTGCTGACCTTCAGCTCGTATTACACTCCAGAGAAGCAAGACTGGCACATTCAGACCCAGTTTTCCACCAAGACCAAGAGAAGGTACACTCCAGCTGGTGGTGAGCAGATGATCAGCGACCACCTTGTCTCTTAGAGAGGACTCTGGATTCGGCAGCTGGCAGAGGTGACGCCCCCCAGCATCTCCTGCCCTAGATAGTTCCAGATGTCCCTGTCAGCTGCAGACCGCATGAACAGGGGGTGAGCGTGGGATGAGGGCTGGGGTGCCTTCAGCTTTCCACCATGCCTGAGCCTGCACCACCACCTCTCTGGCCATGATGGATTTCTCCGGAGAGAGCAACTAAACGGAGGGCAGAAACTCCTGAAGGAGGCTCTTCATCAGAGCCCACTGGCCATGCCCGCATGCTGGCAAGCTCAGTTCCTTTCCATCTGCAGAGTGAACACCCATGTTTTCCACACCAAGTCCCATATTGTCTAGTGGAAGGCGTCCCTGCCTGTGGCACGGGAGTTGGAGCTAGATGATCTTTAAGGTCCCTTCCAACCCAAACCATTCTATGATCCTATATTGCAGAGGATGTGAACTCGCAGAGCCACGCAATACCAACTCATCGTCCGCTCCGGTAACGCTGTGGTCATTCAGCTGAAGGTTAAGCCACCTCATCTGCTTATTATCACGTTTCTGCTGCCTGGCCCACTAGCAAACTTGCCATCCACTGGTTTCAGATGGACGCCTACTGGGGGTGGCATCACAGGACTGATAATCAGACAGCACTAATCGACAAGAACAGGGAGATCTTTTCCTCAGCAGCTGTTACACACCTCTGTAAGGCAACAGATACAACAGAGAAGGACCTGGGGGCGCGGGCAGACAGCCGGCTGAACGTGAGCCGGCAGCGTGCCCAGCCTGGAGAAAAGGCGGCTCAGGGGAGACCTCATCGCTCTCCACAACTGCCTGAAAGGAGGCTGTAGTGAGGTGGAGGTCAGTCTCTTCTCCCGAGTAACAAGACGAGAGAAAACGTCCTCAAGTTGCGCCAGGGGAGGTTTATACTGATATTAGGAAAAACTTCTTCACCAAAAGGGCTGTCAACCATTGGAACTGGCTGCCCAGGGAAGTGGTTGAGTCACCATCCCTGGAGGTACTTAAAAGATGTGTAGATGTGGCACTTAGGGACATGGTTTAGTGGTGGGTTTGGCAGCGCTGTTAACGGTTGGACTTGACGACCTTAAAGGTCTTTTCCAACCTAAGCAATTCTATGATTCTATAATTTTATGATTTTTTTTTTTTATTCAAAACAACCTGCTTCTCCATTACTGGCCCAAAACAGCCTCTTCCCTCCAGCATTCCTTCACATCAGAAAAGTCTGTGCTGCTGACATTAACTTGTGGTGCCTGAGACTGCTTTTGGATAGTCTGTGGGATGGAGGTAAATGCTGAACTCGTTAAGGCAATGCAGGTCAGGGATCATTCTAGTAAGAACATCAGAGACAGACTGAAGGATCAGCTCCAGTTTGCAAACTCTGCTGCTCTAACATGGCTAGGTACCACCATGAAGCCACCACATGGGAAACACTTTGCTTTTCAATGAAACAAAACATTTCTGTTCCCTGGTTCCTAAATGAGGAAAGGGCCCTGTCAGAGTAATGAAGTGCTTAATTAAAATTACACTCAGACATGCAAATGGCCTTGGATGCTCTGCCTTCTAAGAGAAATATTTTAAGAGCCTTGTCAAAGCTTTAACAAACCAGTTCTTGGGAGCCCTTATTAAGAAAGCAACGAAAGGCAAAGCAGTAAATGTTAATGAGTAAAAGCCCTGGACTTACCTCAGGGTAAGACCATTCTGGTGAATAATCTGTCACCATGAACAAGCGCCCACTCTGCTGTAGCAACCCCAAAGTGCCTTGTGCCGCAGCTGCCGAGACCACCTCAGCCACATGCATGTACGCCATCGTGCTGGCTCCGTTCTCCGTGCTGCTGAGCTGCATGTTGGTTTGCTGAGGGCTGCAGCAAGGAATGCACATTTCAGCCTGGTTGTAGGTTGGTCTGTTACTGTCTTCAGGCTGAGACAGTCCGGCACTGTCACCTGACACCAGCTGGTGTCCGTAGAGAGCATTGCTCCCACCTTCTACTGATATGAAATCGTTAATTAGATCAGAAAACTGGTTGCTGAAGGAGATGTCAAAGTGGTCCAAGTTAAGCTCCATGTTGGAGGAGTTATTTAAGCTGGGGTGGGCCACAGGATAGAGTCCTTGTACCATGTTTCCTTGGAGAACAGGGAGGTTGTTCCCATTCCTGATACTCCCGTTGGCCTCAGGCTGCAAGTAGTGTTCTGTGCTGCAGGCTTGAAGATCCCCTGATTTAAGAAGATTTTCGTTCCCTTCTGCCTGTTGGGAGGTCTCCATGGGAACTTCAGCTTCTGCAGTCATAGCCTGGAAGTTTGCTTGGAACTGCATGAGCTGGAGAGAAGAGGTGGACTCTATTCTGGTTTCCACTGTGCCGTTACAGTTGGAAGTGGTTTGGGAGGAGGACTCTGTTTTCACACTGGGGATTCCTAATGTGTTCACAAATGAGCCACTTGTGTCATTCAAATTGTTGTGAGTGTTTTGCTCGAGGGGAAGAGGTTTGCTGGCATCCTGCAGAAAGAAGCTGGGGGAAGGGGTCTGATGAACATGAGGGCTCTGGACAGTCTGATTGAAGCTGGAAGAATAGTCCTTGTTGGAGTCAATAGCACTGAAGTCCATCTGCTCCAGGGTGGTACTCGGGCTCAGACCTCCTCCAGACGGAAGCAAACCTGAACCAGTAGTGAGGGTGAGAGTGTTAGATGCAGAAGTGGAGGAAAATGCTTCTTTGGACATCTGTTGTTCGAAAGATGTGTCCTCAGTTTTAATTTCTTTTGTGAGGGTTGTATTGAAGTTGAAGCTACGTTCCGTTGTGGGTGACTGCCTTATGTTGGTACTGATGCTGTCACTTTTCATACCTCCTCCACCATAAGTCTGCCCTTGCTTGGGATTGTTAAGAAAACAGTCTGGGTCAAAATTCATGGTGGTTTCTGGAATTTTTCTATTTCCATCTAAAGTTGTGGAGAGCACAAGTTCCTCGGAGACAGTGCTGGGTAGCATCGACAAGCTCTCTGAACTGCCGGTTGTTGGAAACGCAAATTTGTGTCCATCTGAACTCACAGCAAGTACCAGTCCTTGCGCAGCTGCGTCTGAGGACAGAAGGTGTTGATTTGGGCCAGAGGTGGGTGACATGGTATACACAGCTTCACTGGTGACTTCCGACATAAACACAGTGGCACTTTGTGACAAGCTCCCCATAACTGATGCTACAGCCATACTGGACACGCCAGTGACAGCCGGGCTATCTGCCATATCCGGGTCACTATTTAATCCACTGCTGATGGACACGGGAGAATTCTGGGTTGTGTCAGGGACCTCCACCTGGTTGGTGGATGAAACCTCAGTGCTGTTTTGATGGAGCAACACCGGTTTCGCCACTTTGCCGTTCCTCTTCTCTCGGCTGGAGGCCTTGCCATGACTGTGCTCGTTCTTGCCTTCAGAGACATCGTTATTTTGTACCTCTGAATGAGCGCTGTACCCACCTGTCCTTGGTTCGACCTTTGGTGATATGATGCGATGTTTGGCACTGTTACACTTGTGATGCACACTGCTTCCTGCCCCTGTGCCAGAAAACAACAACATTTGCCGTTCAGTAAACACGTCATTAAGACATGCTAGTTGTGTATCTTACGGCTGTAGCAAAGGGCGGCCATGCTTCCACGCGAGCGTGCACGCACACGTACGGGAGAGCAAGAGAGACCTTCAAAATAAAAAGTAATTTCTCACCAGTGCCAGATTTATAGCTCCTTTCTGTCTAACACACAGATCCGCTGCATGCAACAACAGCAACCTCCAAGGAGGCACTTGTGCAACCTTCCCCTCATCCCACGTAGCACCTACCCCCTCCCTCCCCGCCCCGATCAGACAACACATTAGGAGGAGAGGAATCGGTGTCTGTGACAAGTTTCGGCGTTATGTGAACACAACCGATCTCAGTGCGAGGGCTGCTGCTGCCAGCTGTGGCAGAGGGTTCCTGCCTCGTTTCACCTGCACCATGGGCAAGACCTCAGCCCCCTGCGACACAGACGCTCTGCGCTGCGCTGGCTGACGGCGGG